TCCTTCCAGTGAACACTCAAGGTTGATTTCCTTCAAAATGGATAGGTTTGTTTTCCTTGCAGTCCAGGGGACTCTCAAAGGTTTTTTGCAGTATCACAGTTTTTTTTGGTCTCACTGTGTATGTTTGTGCCTGTTTGCAACTAACCAGTGATTTAAAAAAAATATTGCATATTATTCCAAAGGTGTAACTCCCCCTGCAAGTTTCTACCCAAATCATAATGCTTCTGGCTTAGGTTTGGCTGCTACCTTGTTCCCTAACTTCTAAGACATGGATGAGAGACTTCAGCAGGTCCAAGATACTAACTTTCTCCCCCCCCCCCAAGGATTTCTGGGGACCACATGGACCAGGGGTGGGCAATTAATTTCTATAAGTGGGCCCCATGAAAAATCTGAACTGTGTTCGGGGGCCGAACCAACTTTACTTAAAAATAAAATAAAACAGTGATGTTTTGATTGCTTTTTTTAAAAACTTGTTAATCTTCACAAGTACTAAAGAGGTTTTTTGCAGTATTTTATTTATTTATATATTACATGTATACCCCGCCTATCTAGTCAAACGACCACTCTAGGCAGTATGTTAAAGATAAGCAACTGATCAACTTTACACAAAAAGCTATAAATGGTTTTGATGTTCAAAATTGTTGGTGGGCCGGACAGGAGCACCTCACGGGCCGTATGTGGCCCTTAGGCCGCACTTTGCCCAGGTCTGACATGGACCATGAAAAAAAAAATTAGAAAAGAAAACTAGAAGCATGCTTTCAGTTTTTCAGAAATAATTGTATGTGTGCATATAAATTTATGCTAAAACAGCCGGGAATGCATGTGACTTATTTATAAGATGAATCATCGCTCATAGATGATTCTGGCAGTGGCTATTCACTTTTCTTTGTCAGAAAAAGAGGAGACTGCCAGAAGGTTGGTGTCTTGTGTCGCTCTAGGCAGAAGGTCCACCCCTGCTCTAAGACTAAAGGTGAGTAAAGGGGGTTGTCCAGATGTTTTTTGACTGGAGTTTTCATAATGCATCGCCTATGTAATGCTAGAAAGAATGTGTGGTATAGTGGATAGAGTAACAGCCTAGGACTCAAGAGGTCTGAGTTCAAATTCCTGTTCAGCCATGGAAACTCGATGGTGGGGGGTGATGGCAAAATATCTCCTTAAATATCTCACATACCTTGAAAACTCTATAAGAGTTGCTGTAAGTCGGGTGTAACTTGGCAGCCCCTAGCAAGCAATGCTATGCTGTAGATCAAAAAGGTCTTCTCAGTGCTTGGAAGTCAGGGAAATTCTCGAAAGAATATTGGAGGCCCTCAAGATTTATTGAGGCCCTAATAAACAGAATAGCTGCCTGGATAGCCCAGTGGGTTAGGTATTTGATTGCAGAGCTAGAGGTTGGTAGTTTGATTTCTCACTATGCTTCCTTGGAGAAAAGCCAGCCTGGGTGGCTTTGGGCAAGCTGCACAGTCTCAAGATGCTCCCCTTAGAAGAAGGGAAGGGTGAACCACTTCTGAGTATTCTCTACCTGGGAAACTCTGAAAACGGTCACCCTAAGTCATAACTGACTTGATGGCAAATGGTGACGGTTTCTAAACAGAATGGGATTTACCTGCAAGCAGCGCTGTCTGAAGATTATGCTGTTAAAATGTGGTCTGTCTCTCTAATGAAGCTTGAATCATGAAGGGTTTCGTTTCAATTTTTTTTTGCGCTGGCAGCTTGGCCAAGTTCCACTTCGTGTGTAGTCATAGTTCATTCTGGTGGTTTCAATTCAAAGAACACAGGCAGATTGTTTCCTTAGCTGAAGGGCCAGGCTGGCATGATGCTGTGTTAAAAAAAGAACAAGGAAAGAAAAAGAAATTCCTGTTTTGGCATTTCTGTTTTGTATTGCCTGCAGTAAGAGCTGATGAATCATGGGAATGAGTCGGAATATGTGTGCTGTTTATGCAGTTCTATTACGACTCCGTACTAGAAGCAAAACACCGCATCCCGGAGACTGGTACCCAACAGTTATATGTTATAAACAAACAAGGGAGTTAATCATACAGGTTGCCTACGGGGCTTTAAAAAGAAACATTCTGGATTGTTAGTCCCAACATCCCCCAGTGCCATGCGGATTGGGGATTCTGAGTGTTGAAGTCCAAAAAGGTCAGTTTTCCTACTTCTGGTTGGGTAAAAAAGCCAATGATCTAATTATCCCATATAGCATATGTTATATACAGTGGTGCCCCGCATGATGACGATAATTCATTCCACTGAAATCGCTGTACAGCGAAATCGTCGTCATGCCGAAAAAAATCCCCATTGGAATACATTGAAAACCGGTTAATGCGTTCCAATGGGGAAATTACCTCATCGTCCAGCGAAGATCTTCCATAGGGTGGCCATTTTGTGAGCGCCGATCAGCTGTTTTTAATCACTGTCTTCCGAAGCAAGGGTTGGAAAACAGTGGGAAGCCATTTTACGAAGTCGTAAAAATCGTCATCTTGCGAACAAGGTTCGCGAAGCATGGACCAAATCGGCGTCCAGCGAAAAAAAACCATTGGAAACATCGTTTTGCGATCACTATAGCGATTGCAAAAAAGTCACCATCCTGTGGTGTCGTTGTCAAGCGGGGGCGTCGTCATGCGGGGCACCACTGTATTTCTGATCAGGTACATTTACTGTTTCCCGGCGGCACTGAAACCAAGTTCTACATCTTCCTCAAAGCACTGGATTATTCTCCTAATTTGGCTGCAACTGGCTGTGTCTTACCCAATATGTATGTCACACTTCTATGGGGTTATTTGCAATTATAAAAACAATATGCTACAATTTGTGCACCCAAATCCTAGGCAGCAACACCAGTATAGAAGTTCTTGTAAAAGTTTAAACAATATGCTACAATTTGTGCACCCAAATCCTAGGCAGCAACACCAGTATAGAAGTTCTTGTAAAAGTTTGCTTGCAAAGTTCAAATGTCCCTTTGAATTCAAATTCAAATAAAAATCCAATACATCTTCCTCAATTGGGCTGGGTGTCCGGTACATAAAAGAATCAGCTCTACATGTGGACTCTTCAAAACCTTAAAGTAAAATATAAATTCAATTGTATGCAATTCCTGAATTAAGTGTGTAGTTTCACCCCTCCAACACAAACATATAGGGATTATACCTAAACCAGATTGGCAAGGGTCTCAGCAGTCCAAGTGGCAACAGCGTCTCTTCAGCTCACCTGCTCTTTCTGATTCAGATTTCTTACTCACAGCCCTGCTCTTTCTCAGTCCCAGCCCTTTAGGCTCAACCAATATTTCATAGGGGTTATACGTAAATTAAACTGACTTAACTCCTGTGCATCCCGAGAAAGTCAAGCAAATATTCCTGACTAGTTAACATACTCTTGAGCAAAAAACCTAGAGCAGAATTAGATGTTGGACCACTGTATCCACGGGATCATTATCTGCAGTTTCACTAATCTGCTGCCTGAAAATATTAAATAACATCCAACATCCCCTGAGAAATACAGTGGTGCCTCGCTTAACAGGCACCCCATTTAACAACGAAATTGCATAGCGATGAAGATTTTGCGATCGCTTTTGTGATTGCTTTGCGATGGTCTGAATTGAGTTTTTTCGCTTTGCGATGATCGGTTCCTTGTTTTGCTTACCGATTATCGCAAAGCGATGATTTTCTCCCAGCTGATTGGCGGTTCCAAAATGGCCACCGGGTTAAAAAAATGG